GCCACGACACAAAACTCAACAAATTTGAGACCAATAGTTCCATGTGCACGTTTTGTCAGACTCACGTTCCAAAGCTGTTTAATCCGTTCCATGGGTAGTGGTTGGTCCGCTCCGCACAGATGGTCAAGGTACAGCTTCACAACGCGCAGGCGTGCCAGGAAGCATCTGATGAATACAAGTTGTAAGTAGAAAGGTAACATTCGCCAAGCAAATGCATAATGTTTACCTTACCACATGGTCTGCTCTGTTTATTCTTACTTAAACGCATTCATATATGTGGTGACAGGGGACTAAATCCCCCCTGCTATAAAATTACAACATGATATAACCCAGCACTAGTTACCATAGTGACAGCTGTCTGGTTCAGGTCATTGACCTTATTTGTTTGGAGAAGAAGAAGAAACTGAGCAAAAGCATTATGTCTTCCTTCGATAAGCATAACTAAGAGTTGATGACCCGCCCCGGTGTATTAACGGTGACTTATTTAACCCCCGGTCTGTCACATATAACCACGGAATAAACCACCGAGAGAGAGAAACGGAAAAAGATCTGTACTCACCTACATCCGTGAAGGGAATGTTGAATCTGTTCAGACGAGCTCACTTTGTAAGCTGCGAAAAGATCCTCCGCCAGCAAAACAACTGACTGTAACTTGGACCCCCAACGTTCTTTCTCGATGGTGGTTGTCAACTGCCAGAGTTCCTGGGCTAGTTTCTCGAGTGCCAAGCGCAATGCTGTAACATCAAGCGTCTAAAGAGAAAAAAGTGTTCACTGTTTAATACAAAACGATAAATCAGAGATTCAAACTTCCGGGAGGTTTTTTTCTGTTTATTTGTTGGCACAGCCAAATAGTGATAGTCTGGCACACTGCAATGGGTTTAGGAGAGAAACGTTGCATACTGAGAAACACGAACCTGACAAGCCCAAGGTGGGTATCTACAGCGACCTACAGTAACTGTATGGGTGGACCCTTCTGTGAATTTATGGTTATAAACATATCCCCTCCCCTCTCGAGCTCTGTCACTGCATACAAATACCCACTGAGACGTAGCCAACGGACACACACACACAAACACACTGAAATAGCTGCTGACATGCGGTGTGGGAGAAGAAGACGAAATAAATACGTCCGTAGTAGGGCGTAGTTACGATCGTTTAGCACTCCTAAGCCTAATTAGACATGAGCTTGTTCTATGGTTCATAACGACTTACCATGTTTGGACGGTTGCGCAACGCGGTCTCTAAAGTAGGAAGCTGATCTGTACCAAATTCCATCAGCTGGGAGAAGCGGGACAGACAGCCGCGGACTCCATCGTCAACTGCTACATGCACATCTGTAATGTGGGGTGCCAGTGGGACTTCCTGTCTCTGCCTTACCATGGACACGGCATGCTCAACTGCTCTGCAGATAAGCTTAATACAAACGGTAGTGTGTTGTGAGGGTTTGGAAAATATTGATAGTGTCTGGCGTTTCAATTTCTCAAACATTCAAAGATGCACCAAAAAACAGTTACTGAAGCAACTGGATTCCTTGAGTAACTTTTTGGCGTATCTTATTATTTGAATGTCTAACTTTCACCGAAGTTTAAAGACGATTCGGTACAGTGTTTTTTAACATTCGGATTTGTAGATAAATCAGAAACAAATGGGATTTAAAACATGTAGAGAAGTTTACACTGCAAACACAGAGGAGGCGCTTACCTTGACCTCTACTTCTGAGCCCGTAGTGATCTTGTGAGTCATCAGAACATAGTCATGGATGTATCTTACCATGACCTCGGCGGGGTCGCAAGATTTTGTCGCTTTGCTAAGCTGTCGTCCAATCTCAGTCTCGTCAAATGCATTTCTAAATACCTCCTGAAATGGCTCCGAAGTTCGTGCTGCATAGAACATCAATACATCCAGCATGAATACAGACTTGTTGCAAACATCTAATGTATTTGTTAAAATCGTACTACTATTTCATCACTTTTCATTGAACTTACTTAGCGTCCGGTAGGATGTGCACAATGTCCTTTAGACTATCTAGAGGTCCGATACCACGATTACGTTTGGTACGTATAAATACATTGAAACATGGTCTCATAAAAGTACTTTCCCACATTTCAATCTCAAAAACTCGTCTGCACCAGAACGTTACAAGGGTCTGCCTCAGAGTATGGAAAGAAAACAAGGGGTTCGCCATCTCAAACTCCCAGAACAGCTGACAGCAGTAAACAATCCCTACCATTGACCGAAATGTCTTTTTAAAATTTGGTCAGTCCTAGTCACACAGGTCTGTCATTACATCCACAAAACTGGTGAAATCAACAAAACTTTACCATATGATAGTTCAGACACTACTTGTTTCTTCTAATCCAGAATCTAAACTGAAAACCTAAAAGAATTTAGAAGAGAAAAAAGGAATTTCATAGTTATTAGTTCGAGACTAGAATTGTGTTCCCATTTTGGGTCTTTGTGACGCAATGGTGACGTCTGCCCTGAATTCAATAAAGACGGTTTATAGCGTACCTGTCATTACTGTAGCATCTTGCCACAGTTTGTCCACCAACTCCTTGATTAGCCAGGAGAACGGAAGCTGGCACTGGAATAGCTGACCATCGTACCCTGAGGTTTGGACAGGTACCGTCTCACGGACTGCACGTTTCTTCGGAGAAAGACAGTCTGTGTAATGTAGATCAATTGCCTTGTCGTTGGCTGCAATATGAAGCCATAGCTGATGCAACCATGATTCTTCTTTTGTCTTGAGGAGATCCATATTTGAGTTCCTGTCGAAGAACGCAATCACCTCCGCCAGCATGGGAGATACAACTGACAGCAGGTAGATCCATGCCGATCGTCTGCAAAAAAAGGTGGCAAAAAGGAATATTATTATTTAATGACTTCATAATAAGACACATCTCTATTTTAGTGTTACTTACCTAATTGTACGCCATGTACAGTTCCGATACAGGGATTTTGAGGCTTATGTAAGTTACGTACAGGGTTCCTGTGGAGTGAAATAATGACGTAAACAAGAAAAACAGTTAACAGAATGTATATTGAGACTTCATCAGGTATATCCAGTAAAAGGTCCCTGCTTTCTGATTCCATCATTCATAAAATTCCATCATCTTTTCCAGTACTAAATGCCCATCATCGTGTTAGGAATAACGTTTTTCAGTAGCAAAATACCAAGTTGTCAGTGCCGGTGCAATGATGTTTCGGCATATTGTACGTGTGCGAAAATGATTTTCGCGGCACTCTAGATGTTCTTCAAAAGTATCATTGAGATATTTGTAAGAACCAGTGTGAAAATCAATAAAAATAAACTGGACTGCCCCGTACCTTAATGTTCCTGCCTGACGAATAGCTTTGGACGCCGCCGCCTCTTGTGAAAGCCAGTTGGATCCCATGTGTACCTGAGACTCTTCCTGTTCCTTTAACAGCAGTGTCAGTCTGCCTCTCAGTACTTCAGCAAACGTCAGACGACCTATCATAATATTCAGATTAGTACGAACAATTGCTTTTACAGCATTGGGCATCTAATCATCTAGGATGGTGGACTATATGAGATTTACAGACGATTCTTACCTCCATTTTGCTTCCCTTTGGTTGCAAGAAGTTTTAATAGTAGGTCGATTCTGTCGATGGTTCTGTGTTTCATCACGAAGGGATCAGTCAAACGTGCTGCTGCAGATTGGACAGAAGAGCGGAGGAGAGTTACAGTGTCAAGATGGTCATCCAACTCCGATGTACCCGCCTCCACCGCGTCCTGTGGGTCTACGTTTAGGTCTACGATGAGGTCCTGTGTGATCGGTTGTCTCTGCCGGTCCTGTGCGGAGGCCAGGCCATCCGGCTTCAGTCTCTCATGAAGACTCTTGTCGTCATCGATGTGGATGAAGTTGACTGATTCACAAAGTTCAGCCAACGCGTCATCAGCCTGGTCCGGTGGGGTCGCGCTCCGGGGTTCGATAAGGCAACTGACGGACTTTCCAATCATGGCGGCCACGTCTGGGGAGTAGTCGTTTGGAGGATGAACATCATCAATGTGATAGCAGAGCCACTGTCCACCGCCGAGACCAGAGAACCCTTTTCCTGTGTTCCTGGTGAGCTGAATGACAAAGACCACGCTGGACCTACGGTTGCCGGTCTGGGCCCGCTCGGCCTGGACGGTATGGGAGGCGCAGGCGATGAGGTTGGAGTTGATGTCACCAGAGTCACATTGAACAACCAAGAGACCTCCCTCAGCCAGAGTTTGCTCCAGAAAATGCCTGTACAATGAAACGCAAGAATGTCATATTCGACCAAAATGCGACCAAAATGTAACACAATAATTTCCCATATGATCCATTCTGTTGTGTAAAAGTCACTGGTAATATACATAGATTTTAAATAGCCTAGTACATTGTATAGCAACATGGTGAACTCAATTTTTTGCTAGAACACAGCTCACCCAATACGTCTGCTGAATTGTTGCTCCGTGTCAAATTGTTGTAAGGACAGCAGCTGCACCAGAGCTTTTCGTACACCAAGCGTGTCTGCCAGCTGTGGCAGGTCTTGTCTGGACAGCAGACGGCCGTGCGTTGTAACCTGTATCGGTAATAAATTTGTGATCATATATCAATCTGAGTCACCGCTACAACGGTTAGGCCACATTGGTACATAACGCGGTTTGTTACTAACATATTCTAAATTTGACTCATGTACAGGTAAATGTATCATGACGGCTGATATTTTTACAAGATGGAATTATATGTATCTGGTCCGCAATAAGTACAATTCCTTCTAGCATCTAAATGCATCGATATTGGTAGTACTAATTAATTTAATTTTAAGTTTAAGTACTCCACTAACTAATGTATTTTTGCAAGAGGAGTGAAAGAGGTGGTTTATATTGGAGCGGACCGACTGACTTTGAACAGAGACGGCGGGTGCTATATGGAACACAGCACCAACCGGAAGTAGCAGCAGGCAGGTCCACTCAGTGTTTAACGTCATAGAGTTTGGCTGAAAATCTGCGGTCCGAACTCATGTCAGTGTTAATCAGTTAAGTTTAGTACTTCAGTCATAAATTCCAATACCTGTGCTGAAATCCCACTCTTCCCATCTCTCGGTATGTTATGAAGTAGAAAGTCCGCAAGGCTGGAGTGGTGCTGACCATGGAAGTACGTGTGCGCCATAGCGCGTGCGTCAGAGGTGAGATGGGAGCTTTCAAGCCGGCGAACCACTGCATCGGGAGTTGCGCACTGGAGAAGACTCTCTTTCGCCCTTTCAAACACCTTCACATTTGCACAGACAACAACAATGACCGATCTGGCTTCGTTCCAACAATGTCAGAAAATGTTCTAAAGCAATATAGACACGATAATGGTATACGATTATTGGGCTATCTATCTGGATATCTACAACTTGTGCTACAAAAGAAAATGAAATGATAGACTTCTGCCATGGATTGTTATAATTATACTTGTCAAGACAGATAACTTTTACTCTGTTTAGTCATTTATTTTAAAACCTTTTTTTTTCAAAATTCGTGGATGAAAATTAAACATACAGGTAATGAGATGTACTGTAGTATTGTAACTCAAGCAGCTAAAAAGAGTTTGAAAACTGCCACACGTTTAAGGTAACATACACTCCAGTTGCTCAAGTAACCGTTTTTTTATGAATTTCGAATTTCAACATTCATTTCTTACCGTTTCCTCCCACTTGTTGTCATTGATGTCGACGCCATGACACACCCGCAGGACAACGGTGGCAGGAAGATCTTCATGGTACCCAATGAAAGCATCAGCAGGCTTGTAGTTACTTCTAGAATTACAAATGAATGATGCATTATGCACGAAATCTGATTGAGTGTACGTCGATAATTTTGGCTATGACCATCATTGGTGGATATAATTAGTATACAAACTAAACAAACGCACTTGTTCTTGGTTGTGTTCCTGGTAGCATCCACATTGACGAACGCCTTAGCCCAGTCATTCACCCTTTTAGCAATGCCGTTCTGTGCAGGAGTCAGAATCGTTGACACCGAAAGGAAGTGTTTTTCCAGGCGGTTGATTAGAGGGATCGGGAACTTTTCATACACAATGTCCTTTTCTGCTACGACGACCAACCTAGAGTAAAATAATGATTATTAATAAACGTCAATCAGAACAATGATTTGATTCAAGCATCTCCACCAAGTTTATATTTGGTCGATTAAACGATTCCTCCTTAAACATTTGCATTTCTTTGTTAATGATATATTGTCTAAGAAAAACTACATTTGTACAGGTACAAACCTGAAGTCCTTATGCACACGGCACTTCACCCTGTGAGTACCAAGGCCCAAATCCACATATTTCTGTCCACCCATTTCCACGTAGTACTGAAAAAATAAGGCAAGACTTTCCATGTGAAATTTGTATAGACCTTTCAGTATGATATTATCAATTACATGCATCTGAACATCATATTTAAGTTCAAGGCCATTGATGTGCAATACAATTCGAAGCGAAGATCTTATATAATCTTTTAATCTTATATAATCAAAGTCAGAAGTAGTAACTGAATACTATAAATTGTACTGAACGTCGGAATTGTAGCAAACAAATTCATCAATAGGCCAGTTCCTTTGTTTCCTAACACATGTCTTGTGATGAGATGAAATATTTTTGCAAAAAGCTAGAGATATAATTACCTGATTCAGCGCATCGTAAAGGCTTTCATACAGATTCTCCAGGTTGAGTAGGACCACGGTTCGCCCTGTTTCCATGCAGACTTTGATGCGGTTGATGTCGCGGCAAATCTGAAAGCAGTGATGAAAAGTAATACAATATACGATTAACAGGTAAAACAATTAAATTCACCAACATTATATGTATTAAAGTGCTGCGAACATGACTATTGTAGAGCAAGAGACATCTACAACGAAAATGAACTTGAAACATATATACATTAGTATATATAATGACGTTATCTTTTACCTGGGTGTATTCCTGGTCCTGGGGAAAACTGCTGCCGAAGAGAATGACTGTGCTCCTGGGATCGAGCATTTCTTGTTGTAGAATGGGAAGAGCAGCGTAGTTTTTGGTCAGAATCAGCAGATATCGCCCTTCACTACAGCAAAAAATGACGTATCATGTTTCTATCTCATATAATAAAGTGTTATATATACACACACTCAGAACGATAATAACAGAATAAGCTCTAAACGGCTTTCTTTGGGAAAACGCAAAGCGAAGTCAATCGTTTCGTATCTGATTAAGTTACTACAGTGAGGAATACTATATATTTACATACAAGTTGATGGTCTTCTCCGCAAATATTTTTCCTTTAAATTACCTGTCACTATGAACACTCTGTAGACTGGCTCCAATGAGGCCAAGTGGACTGCAGTCTGGATCTGTTGTCCTCACGGTTTGGTCAGCACATGTTTCCAGAACTTTGCGGAACTTCTTGAGAGGATCTATGTCGTCTCTGCCACTGAAGTTTCTCTTGATGGCATGTTCCAGTTGGGCGCGTGAAGGAGGATGGCCGGATGTACGACAAAAGTTGCTCACCATTTTGATCAAACTTGATGAAAACAGACAAAGACAAACCCTGGTTACGGCAATCGTGCAAATGTGCATATCATTTAGTTATAATGCAATTGTATCTAAAGCATATATAGTGTGTATGTCAATAGCGTGTTTGCCACCGAACAAAAGTGCCTTTTTACCTGTAGAAGTCACGGAGACCAAAATATTCCCTATCCTTCAGCTGAGGCCGATACAGATCTGTGTAGGCGCCGGCTAAGCTGCCCAGCATGGTCTGTAGCTGCGTCAAAACTCTTTCGTCATGTTCGCATATACCCCTGGAGTAACAGTTATAGTGACAAGGAACTTTATCTATGGGCATAAAATTGATCAAGACTAAACACTACGCAACGAAATTGCAGTGTAGGAAAATTATGCTATACTTCCTCTATATCTGAAAAAAATATCTTCTCCCTTCTTAAGCCACGTGCAGACACATATACATCGCATATTTTAGATGACATGATACACGTAATACAATACAATTCGTAGTATTGACACAGAACAAACCAGCAAATACGAAACTTGCCACTATATTTGCCACTACATTGTATTTGATGCCCTAAATATAGATATTAATAGACTGTGATTCCAGTTGCAAAATCAGTTGTTTTGTATTTAACATTTACCTTGCACTTTTCTTAAGATCGTCATTGTTTGGAACTCCCCTGGACAGGAAAATTCCTCTGTTCATCTTAGCAGGGTCGAGAGCCCAGTTGGAGATTCCAACAAAGGCGACTTTCTGCTCCTGATGGTTCGTGTGGTCGTCGTCGCCACTTTCCTCGACATAACCTTCTTCTAGTAAGGCGTGCAGCGTCTACATTCAGCAAAAGAAAACAATATTGCCTTCAGTTTCCTTCTCTACTTAGGATGTAAGATTTCCATACATGTATAACCCCTTTGTGGCACCATGAACTCTTTTGATATGTTCATGAGTAAGGAAGATTACCTTCAGTGGCATCTTCGGCGAGTCCTCTGCAAGCCCAATTTCATCCAAGACAACGACGGAGACGAACTTGACGAGGTCTTTGTCCTGTTGAAACATGCTGCACTGGTGGAAGGTCTTCACGATACTTTCTGGTGTAGCGAGTGGGCTACACTGGAAGGACACCATGTGGGCCTAGAGTGAACAAGAAATTGGGTATTTCAGACTTTTGGGTATCCATGAATGTATTGGAACTGTATGGTATTGTATGAACATACGGGAAAACACGAATTATATTATTATTAATGGATTATCGCTGATTCGATTGTGTGATGTAAATTACTCCCATATGGTTTATGATCCATGATTACACAGTACATTTTCCTGATGACCCATATTAAATCCTACCACCCAGAACATGCAGGGTCACAATGCTGTCAATAAAGTGAATCAACGCTTTGTCTACTCACTTTAAATTCACGCCGTGTAGGAATATAAAATTGCATACTTAGTGATAATACATTTGAATCATGATGGAAAGAGGTGACTTGCAAACAAATGCAGTAACTATTTCCTTGTTAACCTGTTTCATTCTCCTGAAGAAATCCGAAGGGGCCGAGTCGCCCTGCATGGCGTCGCTAACCACGCTTTTTGCTAACGACTTTGAGCTGCCAGGTTTCCCTACAAGGAACAGCGGGATCCGCAGCTCGATACAGACCACCATCATGAAGACATTCTCCTTTAGCGCAGTATTTCTGGCAATGTTTGGGGCCAGGAGGGTGTCCAGTTGGTCCAAGAACACATCTTGACATCTATAAAGAACACGTATTATTGACTAAACAGTTCAACATTTGTTAATAACTGAATGAAGACATTAATGATTTGTTACATAGTAAATGATAGCAATCACATAATAATTTGTTAGAGTAAGCGTGGTTTTATCTACCAATCTAACCATCATGAAATCAATGAAGTACAACACCAACATTTCAGTTTCTTTCTCAATCGTCTTTGCCCCCTTGGGTAGATTGAAGATTTGCCCGATGAAATGCTTTGCGACAGCCTTTCTGTAGTCGTTTCGCTTTTCCAGGCGCGCTTGATAACACACACCAAGTGCCAGGATCAGGGCTCGGCATACATTGGTTACCTTACGGGAAAAAAACATTTGTGTTAATTTTAAGGGAAACAAAGTTACACTGTCCACTTCAAAAATCGAAATACTTTAAGGACGCAAAGACCTGTGTCAAACAAATCACGCATAATCAATCAGTCTAGATAGACAAGGATATATTACTTACCATTAACTACAGTTACAAACAGTTCTAAATGCTCCAAGAATTCAAATTCCATAATTAAATTAAAAAAAAAACATACATAGAATATTTCAAACTTCATTCCCAAGAGTTTGTCTTGATAGTGACAGATAAATCAAACGGAAGTTTGGCACAAAATAATATTTTTGTTCATATTCAGTAGTATATTGTATCCGTTATGTCAGATCATATCATTATTAAATAAACAAACAACACATATAGTCTTACCTGAATAGTGTCGGTTCGGGTCTGGTCAGCTATTTTCTCATTCATCAAGGCTGATAGGACAGGCATCATTTGCAAAAACCAGGACATGACTGTGAGAGTGCGCTCCACGTCACGTAGACTCACAAAGCTGCACTCATCCTGAAAATGACAGGAAATGTGTGAATAAATATCTCCTGAAAGAGACAGATGTCACTGACATGAAATTCTTAGGAAGCTACAGTCAACACAAACTTAAGGATAAAGTGAAAATGTGCAGAAAAATGCAGACCTTCTTCCTTCTCATGAATTCTTGAGAGGCTGTCAACACCGCAGTCACAGCATCTGTTGCTTCTGGGGGGATTCGGTCTTCAGTTACCTAGGAATAGACAGGAATATGTACTTAAAAAAGCCCGAAATCCACATGTTTGATGATGATGATGATGAATGGTTTATTAAAATGCAAATCACTTGCAGCCCGCGGGCTGAATTGTGGATTCGTTACAAACATTTTCAGAGCTCGTATTAAGATAAAACATAGCGTCACTTATTATACATAAAGTATAACAAATAACGTTGGTGTATAATAAAATTTAACATTTTTACCATAATACGAGTATAAAACGGACTTAAAAGCTTAATAATACAACAATACGGAGATCCTTAAAAACATTAACTATTTTATAAAGCATTTAAAAGGCGAACAATGTACGCTATGGGGGAGTTCCTGAGTCGGTCAGTCCTGCATTTGATTGGTCTATATTTGTCTCTGTTTCTGGTGGTTCTGTCGTGGTAGTCCGAACCCTTTGGTGGCAGCATTGACGATGTGGGGGTTTCTTTCTTTGGAAGCTGAATAACTGACCACATACCAAAATTCAAATATGTACATTGAAAGGATCATGAGCAAGAGTATCCAGTTGGAGGAAGACCTTCTGCACGGAGATAACAATAGTATTCACGTGACTGCGAAGCTACTGTGTAACGCCGCAGGGCGGTTATAATACTAATCTCCAAGCAGTTCTTTGAGGAGCTGCAGTATAGTATTAAATCGGCAAGAAAGTACTCAATTGACCAGGCAGTATTTAATACGCGGCCTACGGACTCTTATTGTTTGCCGTTTCTCCTTTCTGGAATGAATTCAATTTTCATCCTAGATAAATACAGCTTAATTTTAGCTTCTCTAAAGCTCTGCGATATTGCATTTGGTTCAGTGTCCACTATGCCCATGTTCCTGTCTATGTGTCATTCGATCGAAAAAAAACTCAATACCCGACGACAGAAGAACTTGTGGTATCTAGATTAAGAAAAAAAAACTCTTCAGAAAACCCTTACAAATCAACAGAACAAAGATGTTATGATACTCACGCATCTCTTGACCATCTGTTCAATGTACAGCCGTTCGGTTTGGTTGTTAAGCTGGCCAAAGTCCCAAACTAGGGGCAGCATACTGGGTGGAAGGGGCTGTACCCGGTACACCAACTGCCTCATTGGGATCACGCCTAAAAAATACAGGTGAAATTTATGCGTAGTCATATTGGATTAATAAGATGAATATATTTCTAACACCTTCTTATACCTTCGTCTTTTGTTACTTGTGTTGGTTTTTCTATAGTTCAGTTATAACGAAGAACTTTGCACGACAATTGCACCTGGTACAATGTATGGCAATGTATCGTTTCAGAGTGTTTCGGCTCAAATCAACCTTTTACGGTATATGTGATTGGAGCAGCACTTGAATAGATAGATAGCATACATGTACTTAAATGAGATATTAAAGATCAAGGTGGTGGTTGGCATCATAATGGCCTATATGGCCTGCTTTCAGTACCTCAAGTATCTTGATCTAGATTCCAGGACGACCACTATACTACAGATACATATCAAAACTGGAAGTGCTGCTGCCGTACATTATGAAGCCACTAGAATGCCCATAATGGAGCTTGACCTTCGTATTTCCCACTCCAGCCTACTAACAAGTTTTATGAAAACACAGTCACAACATCTAACGCTAGACTGTCTTGTCGAAGTTTCATCATAAAGGCCTACAGTAGTTCTAAAAAAGCTATCTCACTGATAACTACCCCATATACTCATTGCCCAAACACCTATGTCCTTCTAAAAATCAATACCAAATCAAGAGCACAACATGAGATATCAAAACAATGTACATCAGCGGTACATGCAGTGCAGTACCGTACAAGGTCGCTAGATTACCCAAGATTGACCTTGGCCTTTGTTGCCCCAACCTACGAAATATGTGTATCATAAAGATACATCGCCGCTCCTTAGGTCATAACCGTTTAAAAATATCCATCCACCATATATGGTGTACCTAACACATAACCTTCTCGGCGAAGGTAAAAGAAACCTATTGGTAGTAAGAAACTACATGTAATTGTACCAAGTTTGTCTTCTGTTTGCTCCGCCCTGATATGGTAGCCAAGTCCAGCTTGCTCAAGACGTCGGATCATAGTTTTCGTGTGCCTGAAGTGAAAATAAAACAATCACTACTTACATGTGAAACTACAAAACTTTCAACTTAATGCCAATGCAACGGCCCGTACAAATTTATTCATTTGTAAGAGTATTTTTCAAGCATCCTATATGGTATACTGAACATAAATCGTTTGAACAGCAAATAAACTTTGACTTTAAAGTAATGCACATAATTATTCACTGAAAAACGTTTAGGAGGCATCAATTTGAACTACGTGTACTTACCGCCTATAGGGATTGACAGCTGCTATTATCTTCAAACTTTCTTCTCCAACCGGCAGAGGCTTGCCATTCACAGTCCCATCGCACATTATCTCTTTGATAAGCCCGATAGCTTCACTCGTGTTGGCCTCGTCGAGGAAAAGTACAGTTTCAATGTTGTGTTGGCGCCTGTTAACTATTGCAAGCTCCTGTGCCATTGTTACTGTACGGATGATGTCTTCTGCACTCACGCCTCCATGAATCTAGTGTAATAATACATTCAATGTAAATAAAAATTGCTTACTCAATGTCTATTACCAAAGTACATTCTTTCACAACACAGCTAGATATAGTCGGGCTGAAGTGCGTGTAGTTACTCACATACGTATGTAAAATAGAACAATTCACCACCAGATACTTCAATAATAATATATAATGTATTTACAGCTGCGAGCATGAACAATACTTTGTTTAAAATTTGCAATTCAATGTTATATTTACATATTTGACGCTGCAGAAGTACCCCTCTTTCGTTCTCTACCACAATAAAAACACGTTATGTTCCAAAATTTAAAGGCTATGCCGACATTGTGTATTAAAAATACGCCTCAATTCGTGCGCTGCTTTACTCCGACCAGTTGCATCCCTTGCGACCCCATAGCACATTCTAGAACCTCGGGTATACCGGGCCACAACCTTGTAAATCAACTAACTTATATAAATAGATCCCTATCTCCGCCCACTCACTTCCAATACTCGCTGCCAAAAACGGGGTACATGTAACCTCATCCTAAACGAGTGCACTGTTTTATGGTAGTACGGACAAAACAAAACAAAAATAGTAGTGACTACACGATAGTAGTTGACCCTTAGATAAGGGTACACAAAACTACATAGGTCGTCCCAAACGATTCTACCTGGTAGGACGAGAACACTAAACCGTAAACGGGCACTGTTACGCCTCTGCCAGGCAAGTAACCTAAACGAGTGCCACCCAAAACAATACTTGTGTGCCGGAAGTAATAATAGATATGCAAAGTACAAACCTTCATGATAATCATATTCTTGGGTCGGTCTTTGTTTGCTGGTGGTCCTGCCTGTAGGTCACACATGAACCTCACGAGGCGTGTTTTCCCACAGCCTGTCTCCCCCATTATGATAACAGGGATGTCACATCTGAAAAATTGTATAACTCTTAGTGCTAGTGTCACGGAAATGAAAAGAAACCTACAGTGGGCCTCACTGGAAGACAGAAGAAAGATGTCCAGACTATGCATGATGTACAAAATGACTAATAAACTGGTGGATGTCCCAACTACTAAGTACCTAATACCAGCCCAGAAAAGAACAAGAAATAGCCATGCATTCAAGTACCAGAGTTATCAACCAAGGATTGAGGTGTTCAAGAATTCATTCTTTCCTAGAACTATCGCAGAGTGGAACTCACTGTCACCAAGTACAGTAGGGGCATTATCAATAGATAGCTTTAAACAATGTCTAGAGCTAGAAGTTCCTACGCGCCGCGTTCCTACGCGCCGCGTGCCTACGAAGCTGGTGTGTTACGCCGAAAGGCGGTTATACTGGCTATACAGATACAGATGTCTGCTCCGGCCAAAAGGATATACTGAGAACGACACAAGTAAAACGTCGTTGGTTGTTTTGTCATTAACAGGTAAATCGTTCAAACTTGATTTTCATTTGAGATTTAGTAGTAGAAGAGAGTTGTTATTTTCATACTCAACATAACATCACAATTAATTGGGGACTTACCTGAATCGCATGTGAATTGCCAGGATTTTCTTCACGTTGTCTGTAGTCAGCTCGTAACTCTCGTCAGGGTCGAAGTATTCTCCTTTATCCAGCCCCATGACCATACGTAGCTTCCTGATCTTCTCGGCCCTATATGACATTAGATTAGAAAAAGGCCATTTACCAATTGAAAGTAGTTCAAGAAATTATAGCCATCTTGAATTGACGAAAATAAATGACGGGCTTTCATCGGCAGACTTATGGGAGCGAGTCACGAAGTCCTGGGACGTTTTGGTCGTTAGATATTACTTAAAGTGCCTCTACAATTTGGTTACAAGGACATGATGTAATTGATAGTATAGTATTATTGCCTTTGGTGCCAAAACGTTAGTAGAGAAAGAAAGAAACAAGCAATGGATGATGGAACATGCAAAAACTATGACATGATTGATATGGCGTCATGTATGCACAGTTGTAAAGTGTAACAATTTCAGCCGCAAACATCATCTAGTCTTCCGGCCATATTGAATTGAAGAAATTGAATTGTTACGAGATGCAACGTTTGACATCACCTTACCTTTGCATCTTATCAAAGTTGACCTGTAAATCTACACCCTGCAGATCCAAACATTGCCGGAGTGGTTTTCCCATGACGTTTTGCTGCAGGACCCTGTTGTTTGTCGGGTCCCTGATGTTCCCATTTCCATCCACATGAAAGCCGAGGAACGTCATCGTTTGGTGATCGGAGTTGAAGAACAGGTATGGATGTGGGCTGAAGAAAGACGTCACAAAGTTATCAATTGTCACTTGTTGGACTCATGTGTGCGTCCATGGGTTACATACATGGACATGTGTGAATATAATGTAACATATTTGTTCACCTCCACATCCATAGATGTAGGACCAACATCTACAAGAACAGCTTTATCCCCTACACATCCCGGCTCTGGAACAGTCTACCCAGACACATCACCGACTCTCCCACTCTCAATCAATTCAAGGCTCACTACAGAAACCACCTTTTGTCCTGATTCTTTTAAACTTGCATTCATATCTAACTTTTCAGTTAGTATCCCCACTCTTTGCACATATTGCTGCTAGGGAGGTATGTCTTCTTAGGTTTTTCTTATATTATGTATTATAGTACTGTACATTGTCTCCACGTTTTTATTTGTGGATAATCTAATACCAGTCCGATACTGCGTTGATAACCTGTGTATTGATTTGTTGTCATTGCAAAGAAAGAAAGAAAGAAAGAAAGAAAGAAAGAAAGAAAGAAAGAAAAAAAGAAAGAAAGAAAGAAAGAAAGAAAGAAAGAAAGAAAGATGATAATACTGTGTACTTTATTGTATATCAACCAAGAACATTTATTTCATTCCTACCAGTTTTCCCATCGTCGACGCAGGTGGTATTGAATAGGCTCCTCCACTGTTTCCTCTGTGTCACCTGCCTCTGCATCATTCACCTTGAACGACGGGCTTTCATCGGCCATCTCAAGGGAACGAGTCGCGAAGTCCTGTTAAGTTTCGATTGTTAAACATTTCATGAAATTAAACCTAATTTCAAGGACATGGTGTATTTTACGGCGTCATTTTTTTTCGCGCCAGAACTTTACGGATAATTTAGTCTGCCAAAATGTGAATTGATTTCAGAATAGAAAATTGATGTAGTTGATGTAACACGTAGACAGGTCAATTTCAATGTGGAAATCAACATTATAGTGCTTTGATTTAATTCTATTTACTTTTTACTAACCTTGGACATGATAATCATGAAGTCGACAACAAACTTTCTCAGTCCAGGAAGGCTGTCTCTGAGGTCTTTTTGGCAGAAGACGGACTGCTCGTAGTCTCTTAGCTGGTAATTCAGGAAGGACAGGAAGTGGCGCAGTTCTGCCCAGGATGGATCCTTGATCCCGCAGTGGCTGGAACAGAAATTTATTTCTTGTCAGGGGAAAACTGTGTAAAGCAGAATTTGCTTTGGAAGAAAGATGTTCGGAGAAATACGAAGATAAATGTAACAGGTAATGTGCAGAGCTGCACCGATTGTACCTGATGAAAACGTTCTACCGTGCAAATCTTAAGTTGTAAACAGACAACAAGAATTCGGAGAACTCATACCTCCATGAAATATGTACAGTTTATGTTAATGTTTTGGGGGGAGTTGTTTCATTGATTATGGAAATAAGGTCATGATTACCATAATCTAGTTAGATTTGAGGTTTTGTAAACTCAATTTACAATATTTTGCTTATTCCTATCTTTTGGCATTATTTCAAGTAAACATGTCCTAATTAATTATGCCAATGACCTCTATATTAACATAATATTGCATAGTGATGTTAACCTTTAATTAACTTACACAAGTCAAAAGGTATAAAATTCCCATCATTCACCATTAGGAAATCACAAAATTTTCATATCAATTATGCAAATTAGATTATTATTTGCATAATTGGTATCTGTTGATGTTCCACTTCCCGTAGGTTACATGCATTACATGTATGAAAGTACTATTATGTAAAACACTGTAATTACAGAATTTCCTCTTTTTAAAATTAAAATTATGCGAGTTAAGTCTTCATTTACATCTCTCTATGATAAGTATAAGCTACCTACATACCAAACATGATGAAAATATTTTTTCTTTTTGGACTTATCTGCCTTAAGCGATATCGCCAGAAACTCCCCTGCAGTTCCAGAACAAGCTAGGAGGACAAAACCCACACCACTTATTCCTGACAGAATGCTGTTTATCGGTTAAGGGAAACAAACGTACCGTAGAACAATCTTAAGAAAATCGGCATGGTTGTTACTGACGGAGCCGGGGATGAATGTGAAGTTGTCTAAGTCTTTCCCAGCCTCCCAGTGCCGAAGATAGTGATAAGGTCTCTGGAACTCCTCAGTGGAGAAGAGTGTTGCATCCATGATAGGATCCTGGGCTCCACACTCTAAGGGACATGTAGTGTGAAATATATTTTTCTAAACGACAGGGTGCTATTTATATAGAATGCGTTAGGTTAACAAGACGTGTTGAGTCTTGAGACTTAGGACTATTAGAATTTCCAGTACTTGGGCACACCGCTAGTCTTCCCGGACTTCACATACATGTACAATACCGAATATATATGGAATACAACACGGTTTATTCTGTATCACCCGAAGTACCAACCCGACCGAGGTTCGGATCGCCTTTCGGCCGAAGGCCGGACGAAGATCCAACCCGTAGGAGGGCTGGGACCGAGAGTGATGCGGAATAAACCGCATCACTCTCGAAACGTCGGCTCGTAAAAAAATAAACGGTTGTGATCAAAGAAGTTTGCCATTCATCATCATATACTCTATCTATCTATCTATCTATCTAATAAATATCTATCTATCTATCTATCTGTCTATCTATCTATCTATAATCTATCTGTCTATCTATCTAATAATCTCTCTCTCTCTCTTTCTTATATTTATTATATATATTATACATTTGACTATAACATACCTTCAGCTGTTCTCTGCTCAACGTTTGTTTCCAAGGCAAGTATTTCATTCGGAGCCCGGCAAGTAGCAGAGGGCAGAAATCCCACAAACGGCACATAACAGCTGTTCGATGTTTCAACGATCTGCAACATAAGCAAAGATCAAGAATGCTCTCCGTATAACTTTTGATAACGTGGAGAATCGTAAGTAAAAGAGACCGGACGGACACTGACCTGGACATCTGATGGGCCCAATGTCCTCTCGATTAGGTACAGATCCCACGGAAGTCGCAACCAGACTTTGCCATCTTTCCCCATCACTCGGCCGAGCACAGTCAGATTGAAAAGAAAATAGTCCAAACCCTTGCGCACCTGTTAAGGTGAATAACATAAATAATTATGGTGTTGAAGGGCAGGTAAAACGATTAGTTATTTTTATCATTGCCAACTAAGCAACCCTTCTTATTAAACATTTCAATACCCACCAGTGGAGACATGTCGAGGTGAATAATTGTAGGCGTGGGATTCTCGGGATTTTGCTCTTGTTCGTTCAGAGCCGATAGGAAGGCATCTACATCGATGACCGCCTCATGGAACGGAACCTTTAGATAACATGAAGCACGTCGTCTGGCCGACCGCATTTTAACCCGTAGCTTCTCGGCAAGACGTTGGACATACAGGGACTTCCCCACACCAGGTCTGTCTGATGACACCACACGAACGGAGCTCCTAGGCAATAAGAGCGATGACGCATGATTAACATCATTAACAGTGAAACAAAAAACAACAACAAGAACATAGTCAAGACAAAAAAACAACAAGAAAACAACTAGAAATCATGCATGGAATAGATACAAATTAGCATCTTTTAGTTCCGAAAAAAATTTCATCAGGTTGGTAGAACTTAGGAGAGAGGTATTTCTTTTTACACAACCGGTAAATTCTCACCTTGCTGACGTTCCGGTGTCTGTCAGACACCTTCTTCAGTACTCCAGTCAGAAGCTCTGAAGAAGGTGTCTGACAGACACGGAAACGTCAGCAAGGTGAGAATTTACCGGTTGTGTAAAAAGAAATACCTGTCTCCTAGCATCTTTTAGGTTTCAAGTCATACCTTTGGTAGTCAAGTCCACTTGCAGGTTCGGTGTCATTTATGGAACGGTTCTCAACAAGTTGCATTGACAGATATGATTGGATATCGCTAAGTGGACAGCACATGACTTGCTGTACCCGGTACTGTTCAAGGGCTGTCGCTATGTAGGACTGGTGCTGCTTCTCACTGGCACATGTTAGAACCAAGTGACACCCTGACATAAAAACAAACACGTGTATGGGGAAATGTAGGAATGAAGTAACTTGAAAAGATTCAAAGCATTGCTTCACATCAATGCTGTTCCGTTGTTTTGCTTGTAGTCCAGTGTATACCGTAAATATGCAAACTCATATATGCACGTATGTATATATATATACTATTGCGAAGAAACCCTTTATGAAATACAATAGTAAGAAAATAATGAGAAATAGTTGTAAGACAACAAAACACAAAAGGAAGACACAAGCAAAACACATCATGCAAGTATTGTCTTTTTTTTTTTTTGAATGACAAGAAATGGAGCATTCACCCGTTATGCCGCACGACCGACCACGTATTGTTTTGAGAGGAGGTGAAAGATCTCAGAATCTAGCTGGGAGCCAGTTGACATGGGGGAGGGTTGTATAACTTAAAGTTTTAATTTCTTGTTATACATGTGTCTCCTCATTAAATGCCTGACTATGAGAACGAATCATACTTGTGTGACGCTGCATCAGCTTTGCCCGTTCCTCCTCAGCTTTAACGCTGACGTCATGGTCCAGCTGATCGATGTTGACCAAGCAGAATATTCTTCCTGTTTCGTCAGTAGTGGCTCTTTTCCAGAGTAACACGATCTAGACATGATAAAAAGAATGATTACTTTTGTGGCTACTGGTGCCAATGAGGCCAAAGACCTTTCCTTTACTTTTATCAATTAGGAAAAAAAAACAAATACAATGATTAATAGAGAAATAAACGAAACTTAAACTGTAACGTTTGCACTCTAACCTCCTCTGCTGTAGTCTCCGGTGTACACAGGAGTACTTCACGGTAGGACGGCAATGGCAGGTCGACGCCTCCGTGCAAATACAGGGACAACACTGTTCGTAACATGTCACCTAGGTATCAAATAAATGTAAAAGTGGACTTTAGTCACAAGAACGTACAATTCATGTTCTTAATTGACACTAACTCTCCATCATTGGCAACACGAGTTGTTTGTGAGTGCTGCGGAAATGTATCATTTATTTAAGTGATGTAATTTGCCCATACAACTTTTCATAACTATATTTTGGTGGTCAACTAGGATGTTTAGTCTTTCCTCCAGTATTGTTTTACCTTGTATAATACTGTAAATGTTGGTATTTCATATATGTCTTTAATAGATTGTTTTAATGTTGACCTTTAAACTGTTATTTTTAGGTAATTAATGTGTAATGATATGGATTTTATTGAATAACTTATCAATTTTAATTTGTTATGCCAGAACTGTTAAGAAATCAAATTGTACCGCAAGACACAGGTTTGTTTTCACAGATAAACAATTTGATCGATCGATCGATCGATCGATCGATTGATTGATCGATCGATCGATTGATTGATTGATTGATTGATTGATTGATTGATTGAAACAGAGACGCTGAACCTTCCGGCAGAACGTTGTCCTCTGATACGTAACAATTATATTGCATACAAGACGCAGGTGTTCTAAAACCAATGCGTCTGTCTTACAATGACATACTGCAAGATAAGGCACTCCTCCATTTCAAGTACTAACAACAACCGAAAAAGATAAACCTGACCATCTAAAATTAGCCACTAATTAGTCAATAAACATGCCATATCTACGAGCGACATTATGACATACAGGAATGACAGTAACTTTGATATGTTTTTAAATCGGCTGCATGTGACGGTGTATTACCCTGGGTTCCATCCTGGTTAGTTTACCAACCAGCGACTGTGGGAGCGGACGTAAACTAATCAGGATGGAACCCAGGCTAACGGTGTATGTTGTCCGTAATTAAAACAAACAATGATCATTTTCTCCTCATACCTGTTACAGCAGAATGTATATTTACATACCTGCAGGACAGATGATTAAATTCGGGACACCCTCTTTCAAATATGTCTCTGGCCATGGTCTCCTCTGTGAAGTGTGCTCTGAAAGCCAAGTATACGTATTGAGTCAGTACATTAAAATGCGATAAAAGTAAGGCGTGTGAAAAAAAAACAAAGAATGTTCACCAATAGACATGACATACCATTAGTGCGCAGTGCCTGTAGAATACGGCCAAGAGTTTCCAAGCTCAAATACTCTTTCATGTTCTCAAACTGGGTTGACTTCAAGTACTGGTGCCAAATCTCGGTGACTTTTTCCACAAGAGTCCTGTTAGAAATCATACATGCATTTGGTTAGTATGGCACTTTTTAAGTATAATTCTTCTATTATTATTGACCCAGTTATCAGTGGACCCATTTATAATTATGATGTGTGAAAAGGTGTAGTTGGTGGATCTAATTCTAACACATAAAAGAAATTCTAAGGGAAACAAGTGGACTAACTATTATTTTTATAACCAGGGACTTTTTAAATCGGAAATGACAAAGGACTTTACTCACTCATTTTTGTCTTTGGCTGCCGTGACAAGACTGCTGGTTAGGTCACCCTGGGAAAGCATGCTTGTCAGAGGAGAAAACCTTGGAACGTTTCTGCCGTGATCATGTCGTTCTTCGTCCTGTTCTAGATTTGCTTCAGCTGACTCTTGTTCTTTCAGATTTGTTGTGTCTTCCTTATGTTCAAGAATCTCTTGAACTAATTCGTCGTTGCCGTAGTTTTTGATGCACCAATCGATGGCTTCATCAAGGGTGTCATTGAAATTTCCCCTTTGGGAGACTTTAAGTGCAGCTTCAGCCATGTCGTCTGAAAGGTCTGGAACACAATTGCGAAGTTCTCTTAGGAGTGTCTCTCGATTCGGCCCTGCCATGCCAGGTGCGGCGTCTTGGTCTTCATCTTCGGGAGATCCGCGGCCAGTGTCATCAGCCATCTCATCATCATCCAGGTCTATCATGGAGAAGGCTTCTTGGACGTCATTCGCCGTGCAGAGAGTCTTGACGCTGTCCAGCAACAAGATTGCTTGTGACGATGCCACTTCGCCATTCAGAGCGTTTGCAAGCTGCCTCCGAAGAACCACGATTTGCTCGGTAGTGAAGTTGTTGAGTTCAGGATATACACCTCTTTTAAAGTCTACAAACTCAAGCCAGCCTTGCAGGCAGGACTCCATGAACTTTGCTAGATTAGTGACCTCTGTTACAAGGTCTTCCTCTGTTCCGGAAAGAGTTGACGACCCAAAGCCAAAGTCGATGATAGCTTTGACTTTCCTCTCGGGATTGCAGAATAGAAGGCATGTCCACCTGTCGAAGAGCACTGAGCCAGTTCTGCGCAGACGGAGGTACACATTTCCAAGACGGCTGACGCCATTGAATACCTGCAGATAAATCCATATCATTTAAATAAGACTGAGAGCTGCCGCGTTCAACCAACATTATTGATACAGTGATAACATAAATATAAATGATATTGTCACTGCGTCACACCACAGCCAATGTAATGATTCAATCAGACAACGTTTGTACGAAAGCGCCGAACCAAAGTGTATCCAAATACTTGTCTTAGAGCACAATTGATCATATAATGGACAAAGTTAAACTTTGTAGTTTTGGGTCAACGCGTATTTTGAAAAAGAGCGAAGAGGCCGTTAGAAAAAAAATTGTACAAGAGTATTTTATTGTATTTAGATTTTAGTGTTTTTTTTTTTACACTGCAGACCAAGCCATCGTTGTATTCAACAATTTGGGACTGGATATTTAATATTAAGGTTTTTATAATCATCGTACCTCGACGAACTTTTCCACCTCTTCTTTCCCTTTGTCGGCTGTCCCCGCAATCAGCATGAGTTTGCTCTGCAGCGTCTTTAAGTTACTGACACTGTAGTGCCGATCGTCAGTGTCACCATCGGCCTGGCTGAGTCGCAATGTAACGACGCTATCTAGTGGTTCCTGATTATGATATTTTAAAAAAAATGCAGTTTTGTTATCAAATCTATTACTGGATTTGAATCCAGAACATTATGTTATGACAGCATGAAAGTTCATCTGAGTTGGTAAATTACATTATGAATAACTTAACATTATTATACCGAACAGGATTACTTCAAGAGAGACATAAAAGAGGCCATATACATCAGGGCACTTCAACCATCGCTCAACCGGGACGGGGGGCGATATCGACTTCAGACAACCTTTGACCCTTTGCTGACGTCACACATGGGAAAAATCACGTGTCCACAACATTTGGGTCAGATAGCTGAGGAAGACTGAGTGATTCTGTCGAAAATGTCTGGTGAGTCAAATTTTGAGTTGGAGAACAGTTTAAGTTATTCATAACATTATGTTAGAGTACATTACACCAAGAGAGTTGAGAAGATGAAGCGGGAGACCGTGTATAAGATGGAGGGGCATCGCGTGAAACACTGGAGGTAAGGGGTGGATTCCTCTACACGAGTCATCTTGGCATGATAATAATGACCTTACAAAATGTACGTCGGGTATAATTTTATGAAGTCTGTTTGGAACAACAAGGCATACATACGTGTACATCTCTTGGTTGGGTAATGTGACCAATCTCGTAGATGCCCCTGGCATTAATTGCCTCTGCTTGTGAGAGGGAAGACTTTTCTACGGATCCATGTGACTCTTGGACGTGCGCAAGCCACGACAAATGGTTCTTCATGTCGCGCTATAAAGACAGTAATGGATAAGTTCAATATTGGTCCTGTTGACAGCAGGATACTTTTTTCACCTAAATTCCACAGGTTGCAGCTCCCACATAGTACCGCCTGACAGCATTTGTACAAACAATATTGCAAAACCATAATCGGACTCTCCCTTCAGTAACAAACGGCAGCAACTGACTGGCTACAGATAAAAGTTATCAGTATTCTCTTTTAACCACTACCGATGTGCTAGTAGAGCAACTTTCCGTCTAGTGGTATATTCACGCTACAAAATGTAGATTTTAGCCCATCAAAACTGTAGAACGTAGAGCATCACATGGGACGAGATACTAACCAATTTCTTTGGCAGGCTTGGGTCCTGTGTTAGATATGTATCCAGCTTTTGAGCAGACTGCATCATTTCAGTAAAGCCAGCGTCTTCTTTGAGGTCGTAGATCAGAGGCCCGTATCCTATACCTGCTGAGAGCAGCATGTTCACCCTGTCGATCTCTATGTCTGTCTCTCCTGCCGATATACTGGCTAGATCAGCAAATACCTTCAGCTCCTTTGTGTCTGCGAATGTGAAAAGATATCAGATGTTGGAGTACATATTTCACATATTGCATGTTCACTATGTATAAATCAGTGCCATGTTGTGAGATAATGTAGAGTGTAGTTGTAAATTCTCAAGGAAATAGATTTTGGACTTGTTTTTGGGAAGTGGTTTGGATATCTGTGGATGTATTGGAAACACTCGATCGAATTACATCAAAGAATGGATTACTACTCATACGACTTGATGACATAACTTGCTCCGGTGTATGTTTCAAACCATGATTTTTACACATTACACATTCCTATCGACCCTTATACAACATACTGTCACCCAGGGCATTCTGGGTCACACCCCTGTCAATCCTTGCTGCTGAGGACGAGATACAAACTTCCCCTAGACCAGCGCCGCCCAAACAACATTCCGTTCTGGAAATGATAACAACGACACTAATATAACCCCATACCTTTAGTGTGTACCCGCATCCACTCCACCAAAGGTTTGGACAGAACGAAGGCATTGAGCGCATCTGAAGTGGCTTCTGTCAACTCAGCGAGAACCGAAGCAGCTTGGAAGACAGTGTCGTCAATAGATCTCAATGGGCGCATTTTGAAGGATGCATTTCTCTATGAAAGGGAACATATTTTAGAATGATGCATTTGTTGTAGAACAGGATATTGTGTATCTCAGTCTCTTTCGAAGAAAGTTTAGTGATAACAAGAAGCCAAATGCTGCTTTTTTTACACTTAACGGACATCACTTTAGTAGAGATTCTTAAACGTTAAGTGATGGAGGCTACTCAGCAGTGCAGGTCACCATTATAAGGTAATTGAAGTGTATGTAGCTAAGTAAGAATTGGCGAAATAAGAAAGTGTTTATTTCTGCATAACTTCATTGTCTCATACTTGACATTTTGACAATTTCCCATTTATATCCACATCTGCTGCAAAACCAGGACAATTACTCACAGAGTCCAGTAAGGTTTCCACGGCGCTGAAGTCTCCTGTCAGCTGATAGGTCTGCCTCACATCATTGACACGAGTAGCCTTCTCCATGTACTGTCCGAGCAGGTGATACTGCCTGATCTGGTCCGTTCTCTCCTGCACCCAACAGGCTTTAGGCTGGTCGGATAGCGTCGCTATTTCTTGCTGCAAATCTTGTTCGCTACCCATTATGCCTCCGAAATACTTATCGACGTCCTCTAAGGTGATTTCTCCTGTTTCTATGCGTTCTCTCTGCGCCTCCCACGCCTCAAGGGCTGGCTGGCAAACGTCCGTGGCCACCTGATCTATTGAGAGCACAATCCCATGCTCCTCTGTGTCTTCAGGCAGGTGCAGTGACTCATCAGGTGCTGCGGCTCTTTGTTTCCGTATCCTGGCGCGAGCCTCTTCAGCCTGCTTCATCCAAATGGCGTGGAAGAGGACACTTTTCTCAAGTCGTCCCACTGGCCCCAGTATTGCTTTGACGTGTGGCGCGAGGTCAAAGAATGTGACCTTTGGCTCTTCTTTCAGATCCTCGTTGTTTGCTGTAGTTTGTTTGTCATCATAAATAACGGCAGCACAGAGATGACTGACGGGTAGGGTGTCAACAATGTCGTCCACGTTCCCCTGTAGCGAGGTTCTGTCGACTAATCACAAAGTTCACTTTGTAATTAAATGCAATGAGCTCAAACCTCTAATAATTCAACAAAAATTTCACCGTGGAATCAACTACAACAACTACAGCAGAAGTAGACTTACCTGGACCAATAATCTCAGACATGCCCAGGAACTTCTGCAAGTGCCGTCGTTCTTCCTTGAATGCTTCGAGTTCGCCCCATCGGCGCCTGAGGACAATGTTGACGATTCCCTCGCGGGAAGGGTTTGGTTGCTGTGCCTCCTGACTTTCTTCCCCACCTTGGTTGTACGCTGTGATTATTTTGCTGAGTTCAAGGAACCGGCAGCTGAACTTGTTCAGTATTTCTAACTCTTCCACGGAGATGGTTCCATCCAATAACTTCCTTTCCACATCTTCAAGTTTTGAAATAGCCACAACGATCATTTCTTGGCAATCTTCATCAAGCTTTTCTTTCAAAACTGATGCTCCAGCTTTTAAAAAAAACGTTACGGCTGTTAGTACTCTGCTTTGTCAGAATTAGCAACATACATGAGCAACCCTAACAAAAGTGACATTGGTTTTGGTTTACAAAGTCCATAAAAGTATTTTGAATAACACTAAATTTGTTAATAATAGGGAAGTGTTGTTGTCATGTTTGTTGATGCTTAGAATCGTTTAAAGCATCCATGATGCTAAGATCTTTTAAAAATTTAAATATGCTCATTGATGCAGAAATGTACGTCCATCGTCCATTAGCTTTTGCACAAAATGATGCCACGAAACGGAATACCAGACTAGGGGAAGTAATGAGTACAAGTAAGTCAGAATATGAGTCAATATATTCTTTCCGATTTAAGGTCGTTAGAATTTTTGAAAACATTGCAGACACGTGAATATGGGCGCTAGTACTCCAACTGTTCTCGAAATGAGGGCAGGTTTGTTATCATAATCCCACAACTCAGTATCACACTTATGTATAAAGCAAATATTGTTCCTTATTCATCTTCATTAGGGCGATTATGACTGATGTCCTGAATTGCCCTGATGAAGATGACAGATGGTCATTAAAACGTCGGCTCTAGTTAAACAACTGGTTGTGAAGAAATAACTTTACTATTCAATTATTCACTAACTTGATGAAATTATTTATGGATAATGTCACATAAAAAAACGGGGCTTACTTACCGTACATCTTAAAGAATCCAAGGAATGGTTGCCAAGTCAACAAATGTCGCAAAAGTGATGTTTCACACCTTTCGTCGATAAGCTGCCATGTCCTTCGCAACACGATAGAGAAGAGTTTTCCGTATTTCGTTGCTGCTGGTGAATAGGTTGCGATTCGATTCAGAAACTCACACTCCTGTTTAGTCTACATAGAGAAAGAGTAAAGTTGGTACAAACGTTATGTAGACAGGGGCAAATACATTTTAGAAGCTGCAGTGCTAATGAAGGACGACAAGGTCTAAAACACGTACATATGTACCATAGCTGTATGTGCTGTCATATTGTTTCGCCAAATTATTGCTTACCTGGCACAGACTCTCTACGGCTGTGAATGCGGCGTTAGTGAAGCATTCCGCGATCACACTTTCCAGTTTCTCTAGGTCAAGCTGACAGAACAACTCTGCTTGGTAGACCGGACGAACCTGCAACCAACATCACAATGTCTATGTCAAGTGATGATTATGTAACTCGTTTTGTTGTTGTTGTTGTTTTTAATGAAAGGTCATAGAGATAGTGGAAAAACAAAAAGTGCCGACCTGCTTGATCCTTTCATTAAGTCTGTCTGCCAGAGACTGTCTCCATTTTGCGTCGACTTCTTCCTCCCCAAATGTGATGCCCGCGAGTTGGCTCCAAACCTTCACGAAAAGCAGATAATGCTAATAATATAATACATGTGGTGTATGATTTTTCCAAAACACAGTACTGCTGAATATATTCCTCCTGGAAGTTCCACTGTACAATCTGTTTCAAAACAAGATGATTTGTACACACTAGGCCTATGTACTGATCATATATTAGAACATGATTTATTGAAATTGTAACAATACAATACACGTGGGATACAGGACAGGACAATAATCATTTTCACTAGAATTTTTCTTGACGAAAGTCGTGTGAAGTACCTGCCCCAACGACACAAGATCGGGGGCATGTCAGGACTCGAACCCGGGACCTCTTGGTTCCGAGTCGAGCACTTTGCTGTTACGCCACACGACCCCACATACTACATTAAAACATTAAACAAATATTACTGATTACATTAGAAAATTCAAATGTTTCTGATTACCTCTGGCTCTTCTCGGTATGAGAGAGCGCTTTCGTATTCTTGACGCCAATTTGAACTGGCTATAGGACTGGAAAGTCGCCTCTTCAGCCATGTAAGGACTGCTTCCAACGTATTTTCGTAGCATTTTGCAATCCTGTCCATGGCCTCCTTTCTGGTTGCATCTGCAACATCTGTTTCCTCCGATTCTTGCCTCTTGCACGTTAGCGCGGTCGACACATGTCGCATACACGAGGCAACCATGGAAACGGCAGAGACCACGAAGGAACGGCGGCTCAGGTCTTTACTCTCCTCCATGATGACGCCAAGGCAGTACTCACACACGGAACACATGTCGCCTACTGCCCTGCCATGGTCTTTGTCAGTTTGAAATCTATTTCAGGAAATCTCAAAATTACACTTCATAACGAACATAATGATACATTGAATCATTGTACATACTACAAAGATACAGTGAGGCAAAAAATGTACAATAAAAGCCTTCATTCATTACCTCCATGAAATGTGTCATGGAGGTTATATATTCAGTTGCGTTTATCTGTCCGTCCGTCCGTCTGTTGGTCAACAAGATAACTCAAGAACGCCTGGATGGATTGGTTTCATACTTGGTGTGTTGGTAGGGTGTGACGAAAACTGGAAATGATTAGATTTTGGTCCCCCTAGTGGCTTCCCTTGGTACTGCAGCGCAACTTCCGGTTTTGATATCTCGCGATCTGGACATGCTAGGGTCATGAAATTTTGATGGAAGGTAGCTTTCGTGCTTGGGAAGAAGTCATATGAGTTTGGGCCCCCTAGCAGCTTGTTCTGGAACTGCAGGGCACTTTCTGGCGAAATGTTTAAAAGCCAATAAGTCCAGACAGGAACAACATATTTTCATTATTTTTGGTGTGTAGTTAGCTGAGAGAGAGATGTACATAATTAAATGCAAATTATGCAAATGAGGACATTTTTTGCATAATTAATGAGGAAATTCTATAATTACAGTGTTTTACATTATCTCGCGATCTGGACATGCTAGGGTCATGAAATTTTGATGGAAGGTAGCTCTCGTGCTTGGAAAGAAGTCATATGAGTTTGGGCCCCCTAGCGGCTTGTTCTGAAACTGCAGGGCACTTTCTGGCAAAATGTTTAAAAGCCAATAAGTCCAGACAGGAACAACATATTTTCATTATTTTTGGTGTGTAGGTAGCTGAGAGAGAGATGTACATAATAAAATGTAAATTATGCAAATGAGGACTTTATTTGCATAATTAATGAGGAAATTCTATAATTACAGTGTTTTACATTATACTATGTAACCTATGGCAGGCGGAACTTCAACAGATACTAATTATGCAAATGATGACCTAATTTGCATAATTAATGTGAAAATTCTATGATTTCGTAATGGTGAATGATGAGAATGTCATACTTGGGACATCTGTAAGTTAATCAAAAGTTAACATACATCACGATGCATATATCATGTTAATGCAGAGGTCATTTGAACAATTTAAGAAGAAATTTACATTTACATATCAAGATCATATTTCATGGAGGTATGAGATCTCGGAAATCTAGTTTATATATAATTCATGTGTGTAAATGAGGGTGTGACTGTGTTGACGTCAGTGTGTGTGTGTGTGTGTTGTGACGTGTGTGTTCGTGTGTGTGTGTGTGTGTGTTTCTCATGGTGTATCTGTGTGTATATATGTATGTGTGTGTCTGTATGTATGTGTGTGTGTGTGTGTATTTATGCGATGTGTATGTGTTGTGCCTGTGAGGCTGTATGCACGTGTGTACGTGTGCACATGTTTTAGAAACGCTTCACTTACATGATCCAGAAAGACTCCTCACTACACTGGACAGCAATCTGTTCCATTGTCCGACAAGCGGCCTAATAAAAATTTAAAAAAACGTGAAAATATACATAGTAGTGAATTTCACTACAAACATGAATGAACGATTAATCTTAATAATCAAAACTGACGTACCTGTTGGTCAGACGTCGGTAAATGCCCACGACTTGCTTGTCGTCGAATGGTTAAGCCAAGGGCGGCGATTGATTCCGAAGGCGTAAAAATTCTCGTTCCGCAGACTGCTTCAAGTTCCTTCAATTCAAGAACTGCAGCAACTGTCCTCCATAGCAGGGGATCGCAACGCAGCAAATCGCTGATATTGTTGAGGAAGTCTTTTATGGACGGCCTGTGATTGATCGAGAAAGCATGTTAAAACTAGTTCCCCGATCTCATACCTTCGCCAAATGAAGCAAATCGTTATGACTAACAAATTAAAAATTCTTCCCCCCTGATTGTGCAAATAGGATCCTCATTTTCATGAATTATATCAGTTTATCATAATCTCAACAGAAAGACCTATATTAGCAAACAATGCCATCTACTATTTCCTCATAAATTATGCAAATGAGGTCCTGATTTGAAGACACTATGTTTAATGGTGTCCACCTTCACTAAACTTTCAAATACCACAAGTATGAAACTTCAGGCAGTTATCATTACATAATTGTTTAATAATTAAGATTTTCTCATTAATTATGCAAATTAAGTCTTCATTTACATTGATCTCTGTAATATTGTGAGTTGGAATAAAGTTCAACGTTTACTATGGTTTCTACCAACACAGTTGAACTTTCATGATAAAGTATAACTCGTTGTTTAAAAGATAAACACTACACGTCCTAATATACAGTACTGTAAGTGTCCTGTCCTCTGCATAATGGTTCTAATTACCGGCCACTTTTTTTCATTATTCACCACTTATAATGTTACGGCCTGCTGATAACCGATGAGAAATGGAAGCTTTTTATTTGTCGACGTCGTCCGGTTATATGATAATAAAAATTCAACATCCCTAATTAAAACTATGGACATGGACATCATTTTCATATTGAAATGAATAATGGCAATAAATGTGACTTTCACACGTAGAATATATGAACCCGGTAATTCCATCAATGGACATACTGATTAAAGCTAATTAAAACATTTTGCACAAGTAATGAAATGCCCAATTAAACAAAAAATTAACAAAAACTTGCAATATTTCACGGCGATGTGAGATCTTCTAACTGCTGTTGGATTTTTTATTGTTCATACCTGCACCACTTCGCGTTTGTCTTCAGTTTGTCAAAATTGATTCCTCCCAAGCCGAACCACGCAGCGCTGCCAACCCTGGCGTCTTCAGTACGCTGTTCAAAGGGCTGTGAGTCGCCTCTTAAGAAATGGTAGATTGGGATGGCCAACAGCCACTTTGGAGTTGGATTCGCCTGAAGCAAGGCGCCATTGATGAGAGATTGTATAGCCGTGGGCAGCTCCCTGTGGATAAACAAAGCAGGTGTTATTTATAAATATAAAATCATTTGGTGAACGCAATTCCACTATGGCAACATTTCATGAGAAATCGGCCTCTCTTCGAAAATGATTGCATACCTCCATTAAATGTTTAATGTTTTTGTAATTTGTAAATTTTATGCATGGGGATGTAAATGGCTTACAATCTTGCTCATTAGCATAATTTCTATCCAAAATATTCACATTGGCCCTACATGGTAACATGCAACACAATGTTGAAATCCTTATCATTTGGCATGGACAAGATGATATTGTTGCTTACATGAAAGCTAGAGACTAATTTCTCAGTGATTATGCAAATTAAAGTATCAAATCCCCAGCAGTTACAACTATAAAACTGTTGCAATTTTCCATTAATTATGCAAATTAAGTCTTCATTTATCTGCCCATGTTCCTGCCGTTCTCACTTACATATGTCACAAGCGTTTTATAGCCCTACCACAGCAAATTTTCATTCCTCATTAATTGTGTAAATTCAATCCTGAATTGCATAATTGTAATTTAATCAAGTCAAGCATTACTTACTTTAAGCTAATTGCTAACCGAAATTCACGACGATCCACCACCGTTGTTTTTTTTGTTATCCCGGATTATCGCGTTATCTTTAAGTTTTTTAAACAACCGTCCTGCAGTTTGAGAACAAGCTGCTAGGGGGCCTTAACTCACGCGACTTGTTCCCGAGCACAAGAGCTACCTACCATGAAAATTCATGGTCCTAGCAGATCACAAGATATCAAAACCGGAATTTCCGCTACAGTGCCAAGAGGAGCCACTAGGGAGCCCAAAATCTCATCCTTTCCAGTTTTGGGCACACCCTACCGACACACCAAGTATAAAACCAATCCATCCAGGCGTTCTGGAGTTATCTTGTTAACCAACAGACAAACGGAATGACAGACATAATGGTATTCGCAGCATTAATGGAGGTGATTTAATGGAGGTAAATATCTGACTCAAAATTCAATTACTCATTTGTGATACATTTAGCGGCATTTTATCCCAATATGGCTAGCGTTACCTCATTTCGTAAATAAAAAACAGAAACACACACACTGAGACACAAACACGCACACACACACACAAACGGACACACCCCCATACATATACAAACACGAAGGGATCTCTCTCCCTCTCTCGAAGTATAAGTAAGTGTGTTTCGAGAGAAAGGGAGGGAGAGAAATCCTTCCGCTTTTGTATATGTATGGGAGTGTGTGTGTGCGTGCGTGCGTGCGTGTTTGTGTGTGTGTGTGTGTGTGTGTGCATGCGTGTATGTGTGCGTGTATGTTTGTGTGTGCGTGTGTCTGTGTGTGTCTGTGTGTGTATAAGTGTGTCTGTGTGTGTGTGTGTGTGTGTTTGTGCGTGTGTGTACCTGTATGTATCTCCGTGTATGTGTATGTGTGTGTGTGTGTGTGTGTGTGCGTGTGTGTAAATGTGTGTGTAAATGTGTGTGTCTGTGTGTGTGTGTGAGTGCGTGTGTGTGTCTGTCTCTGTGTGTGTGTGTGTGTGTGTGTGTGTGTGTGTGTGTGTGTGTGTGTGTGAGTGTGTGTGTGTGTGTGAGTGTTAGTGTGAGTGTGTGAGTGTGTGTGTGTGTGTGTGTTTGTGTGTGTGAGTGTGTGTTTGTGTGTGTGTGTGTGTGTGTGTGTGTGTGTGAGTGAGTGTTCGTGTGTGTGTGTGAGTGTTCGTGTGTGTGTCTGTGTGTGTGAGTGTGTGTGAGTGTGCGTGTGTGTGTGTGTGTGTTCGTGTGTGTGTGAGTGAGTGTTCGTGTGTGTGTGTGTGTGAGTGTGCGTGTGAGTGTTTGTGTGTGTGTGTGTGTGTGTGTGTGTGTGTGAGTGAGTGTTCGTGTGTGTGTGTGAGTGTGCGTGTGTGTGTGTGTGTGTGTGAGTGTTGTGTGTGTGTGTGTGTGTGTGTGTGTGTGTGTGTGTGTGTGTGTGTGTGTGTGTGTGTGTGTGTGTGTGTGTGTGTGTGTGTGTGTGAGTGAGTGTAAGTGTGTAAGTGTGTGTGTGTGTGTGTGTGTGTGTGTGTGTGTGTGTGTGTGTGTGTGTGTGTGTGTGTGTGTGTGTGTGTGTGCGTATGTGTGTGCCTGTATATCTGTGAAGCACAACGGACTCATTCACTTAATTTACCTGATGTAATCCGGTTCGAAGTGGGCGAATACTTCCTTCAGTCCCTGGCACGTCATCTTCTCTACATCTACTGTCAGTGATAAGGCTTCAAAGAGAACTTCCTCTCTCTCTTTACAGAGCTTGATGCCAAACTTCCGTATCAGGTAAGTGATGGCTAGGGCGGACACCAGGCGATCAGTTGGGCATTGCTTTTCTTCCGACGCCAGGTGAAATGTGTCCAATTTTCTCGACACGTAGGCTTCGATGACCTGTTACAAATTACGAAATGGGAGTGCAAATGACATTACAATACGATATTACAAAATGTAAGTACTAATGCCTCCTCCGTATATTCATATTTCAAAAAAAATCTATCATGCAACACAGAAGAGCCATCAACATAAGTTTTGCAGAAATGATGACATGGTCATAGCCACCGTAGACCATCGTACATTTTTTATGCCTTACGTTTTCAAGCATACTGTGACAAAACTAATAGTCGACAAGAATCTTTCATAGCCTTTTATGTATGATGAGGCGACCATACCCTACTGACCAGGTCCTAACAACAGTGGAATTACAGTATCCGTACTGATTTCAAACACATCAACAGGTCATTTATCTGCAAGGACAGAATTAGAAGTACTTTGACATACTTTATTCACGTTGAATCCGTAGGGGTCCCAAACTTCCGGTTGTGTGTTTTGTACGATTATCAAGTTCCCTCCTATTCCACGAGTGACGTCGTCAATCTGCGACAAGGCGTCCGATGCCTTCCCGTCGTGACGAGCGTCGTCTCCACTGTAGAGGCCGCGCCATTTAGGAAGCCACATTTGAATCGCTACAGTTTTAGCCTCAATCAGCCCAGCTCTATCCAACCCAAAAGCCTTCTTTACCCTGTTGAAGATCACTCGACCTGTGCTCTCCTCGGGCAGCATGAAGTCATTGTACTGGTGCCAGACACCTTTTATTGAGAAATCACAATTAGAAAATATTTTTCTAAAAGCTAAACAAGAATTTGGAGATCTCATACCTCCATGAAATATATGAGTTTTGTAAATATTTTTACTGTTTCATAAATACATTTAAATTACAATATTTTGCGTTTGAAACCCCTTTCCTTCATTCTAACATTTCCTCATGAAATATGCAAATTACCTCTACATTAAGATGATATATGCATAATGATGGTAACTTATACATGTCACAAGGTATAAAATTCCCATCATTCTTCAAAAAGGTATTACAGCATTTTCACATTAATTATGCAAATTAGGTCATCATTTGCATAGTTGGTCTGTTGATGTTCCATCTGCATAGTCTAAATAGATTACATGTATAAAAGTACTATCATAGACACTGTAGTAATATAGAATTTTTTCCTTAATTATGCAAATTAAGACTTCATTTGCATTTAATTAAGAATATGTACATCTCTCTCAGCTACCTACATACCAAAAATGATGAAAATACGTTCCTATCTGGACTAATCGACTTTAAAAGATTTCGCCAGAAAAACCTCTTCGGTTCCAGAACAAGCTGGTAGGGGGACCAAACCCACACCACTTATTCCTGACAGGAAAAGCTATCTGTCACCAAAAAGTCAAGACCATAGCATGTTCAGGACAAGAGATAGAAAAACTGGAAATTCTGCTGCAGTAGGAGGCCCACATTCGACCTTGACCTTTGTCTTCCTAAGACTTACCAACATACCAAATATCATCACAATCCATAAAGACGTTTTGAAGTTATGCTGATTACGAAGTTGCGGAAACACACACACACACACACACGCCAAAAACAATACCTCCATTTTTCATTGAGGTAATAATGACTGTTATTTTTGTAGTCGTCACTTTATACATTATGTATTATGTATTAGTATGTACGTTGAGAGAGACTGCACAGGAAAGTAACACGGATAAAAAAACAATTTTACTGAATTACCCACCTCCAGGATTAGCGCGATCTTTTGGAATGAGCAGACAGCGGTTTGTGATCATCCCATGTGATACCCATCGGTGAATGAACTCCCACTGTACATGGTTTTTCCCTTTTGCTTTATCATTTACAACAGCATACTTGTACTCCACAGCCTTTCCGACAACCTTGTCCGCAGACACCGCCTTTTGTCCCTCGAGCACCAAAAAGTCGTTGGTTTTGCTGAAGAGAAAACATAAATTAGTTAGTGTTACAGGGTCAAATATGCTGTCTATTTGATATAGAGGGAAGGCTAAAAGTTGTTGTAGACTCTTGTAGGCTTCTTGCTCTTTCACATTCTCTCTGAGCATCCTTTGAAAAATATATGGTACTTAAGACAAATCTTATTGTCTAATTGAATTTTTGCATAATGTATGATAA